CATAGGGTCGCTATGAGTCGGAAACGACTCAACGGCACATAACAACAACAACAAAAAACAAAACAAAAAAAGCAAAATGTTGAGACTTTATCTCATATACTTTGGCTGTGCAATCAGAAGGGGCTAATCCTTAGAGAAAGACATCATGCTTGGAAAGCTAGAGGGCCATTTAAAAGGAGAAGACACTTAAGGAGATGGATAGAAACGGCAACAACGGATCTAAGCACAGCAGAGATTGTGAGAATGGTGCAGAATCAGGTAGGATTTCATAGGTACCTATAGCGCGGGGTTAACATACTCATTTGATACCATTTAGCAACAAAAACATTTCACTAATATCCTTGTTTTAGTTTTTTAATATCCCCTTCTTTTTAACTCATTTTTTTTTCTTGTTAGACTATTTTATAAGAGAATCTGAAACATGAAGTCATTTCCCCTGGGAATTGGAATTGTGATCTTATTCCTGAGCTGTGAGTGCTAAGTACTTGTTTATTTTGTTCAGGAGGTTCTATTTTCATGTGGCTGTAGAAATGAAAAAAGCCCAGTGGACTAAGAGTAGGCTATGATGAAATCTACTCTGGGGCAAAATTTTTGCTAAGAACTTGTTCTTGGCCTGGGGTGGCTGCAGAGACCACTCCACAGTATGTCTTTTTCTGGTTTCTCTTTAGAGGAACAATGGAAGAGTCCAGTTGAGGGTATTTCTGAGATGACTAGCACCCTCTCCAGGAAAGCAGATATACCTAAGACAAATGGCATTCCCTTTGATCTGCTTGTCGACCTGGATACTGTTAGAGCCCTGTCTTCAACGTTCAGTCAATACCGAGATTTCATCCGACTCTTGCCTGTCCACCTCTCCAAGTACATTCTAAGTATGCTGGGGGAATTGGGGAATTCTTCAAAATGCCTTTCATTTCAACCCAGCTGATGTTCCTGAGTCTTTTTTTTCCTTTTCTTTTTTCAGATATGCTGGATAAAAACACCCTAAACAGGTGTGCTTCTGTGAGCCAGCACTGGGCTATACTGACACACGAGGTCAAGAGTGATCGTGCCGTGCACACATTCATTCAGAATCAGATGGCTCTCTTTCAGGTACTTCTTGTCTGAGAGAGAAAGACATGGAGAACAGTCTCATTCTCATGTTAAGGTTGGCATGCCCAAGAGCCTTTCAGTCCTACTCCTCAATGCAGACCACCCTTAGCTAGCCTCCTGCTACTTATATTTACTCCTTACTTAGGTTTTAGCAAGCACTTCCTTTTCATCTGTTGTTGTTGTTAGATGCCATCGAGTCAAGTACAACTCATAGTGACCCTATAAACACCAGATCTGAACCTTGTCCTATCCTGTGCCATCTTCATCATCTCTGACACCTCATTGCTGCGGTCGTTGTGTCAGTTCACCTGGTTGAAGGTTTTCCTCTCCTTCGCTGTCCCTCCACTTTTCCAAGAATGATATCCTTATCCAATGAATAGCCTTTCCTAACAACATACCAAAGTGTGTGAGACTAAGCTTCATCATCTTTGCCTCCAAGAAGCACTCTGGCTGCACCCTCTTCAGGATCTATCTATTCTTTTGGCAGTCCATGGAATTTCAGCACTCTTTTTCAACACTAAAGCTCAAAAGCATCAATTCTTCCGTCATTCTTTGTCATTGTGCAGCTCTCAAATGCATAGCAAGTGACTGAAAAGACCATGGCCTGGATCAGGTGCACCGTAGTTCTCAAACTGACATCAGTGCTCCTCAATAATTTGGAGAGGTCTCTGACTTACAGACTTTTCCAGTATAATATATTTCCTGATCTCCTGATCTCCTAACTGCTAGTGCCAAATATACTGGTTGTGAATCCAAGTAAGATAAAGTTGTTGACAGTTTCAATTTATGGACACTGGGCTTTATGAGGAAGAATGCGGCATCAGGATTAGAGGAAAACTCATCAATAGCCTACATTATGCAGATGACACAACAGTGCTTGCTGAAACTGAAGCGGACCTGAAGCACTTGCTGCAGAAGGTCAAGGACTGAATTGAAGCTCACATCAAGAAGACAAAGATTCTCACCACTGGGCCAACCGGCAGCACCATGATGGATGGAGAAGAGACGAGGTTGTTAACAGTTACAATTTGCTTGGCACCAGCAGTCAAGAAATTAAAAAAAATGAATTGCATTGGGTAAATCTGCTCAGGAACCTTTCCAGAGAACTGAGAAATAATAATATCAGTCTAGAGACTAAGGTGTGCCTGTTCCGGGCCATAGTCTTTGCAATTTTTGTTATGCATCAGAGATCTGGATAATGACTAAGAATGATAGAAGATTGACGCCTTTGAGTTGTGGTACTGGAGAAGAGTCTTGGATATGCCATGGATCACCAAGAAAACACATAGGTCTGTCTTAGAGAGAGTGAAACCAAGTTTCTCCTTGAAGGCTAGGATTTTGAAGTTCCATATTACATACTTTGGGCATGTGGCCAGGAGGGACCAATCCTTGGAGAAGGACATCATGCTTGGAAGGGTGAAGGGTCAGTGCAGGAGAGGAAGACCCCAGATGAGATGGATTGATACAGAGACTAGGGAAATGGGGGTAGGCGTGTCGTAGTCATTGAGATTGGCTCTGGACAGGGCACGCTTCAGAGCTGTTGTACATAGGGTTGCTATGAGTCACAGGCAACTCAATGGCACATAACAACAACAACAATCATTACATTGCCTATCAGTCCAGTAAATAGGATTTTTGTTTTCTTGACGTTGAGATGCAATCCATATTGAAGGCTGTAGTCTTTGATCTTCTGCAGCAATCACTTCAAGTCCTCCTCACTTTCAGCAAGCAAGATTGTGTTATCTGCATAGGAAAAGTTATGGATGAGACTTCCTCCAATCCTGATGACACATTTCTCCTCATACAGTCCAGCATCTCAAATAATTTGTTCAGCATACAGATTGAATAGGTGTGGAGGAAGAATACAACCCTGATGCACAACCTTCTTAGGCAGGAGTGGCATCCACTTCCTAAACAGCATGCCTCTGGAAACTCTATGAACTTTGATAAACAGCAATGGTTGTGGAAGGGCTTCAGGCCTTTTGTTCAAGGGGTTGCTATGAGTCACACTTGACTCAATGGCAATCCACAATAACAACAACAGTGTTCCCTTGCTCTGTTCACTCAGAACAACTGAACTCTGTTCACTAGGCTCTTGGCCTAGGTGTAGGTTTCTCATGAGCACAACTAAGTGTTCAGGATTCAAATTTTTCTCAATATTAGCCATAATTTGCTATGATTCATACAGATAAATGACTTTGCATCATCAATAAAGAACAAATAGATATTCTTCTGGCATTATTTGCCTTCAACCAGGGTCTATCTGACATCAGCGATGATATATCCCAGGGGTCATTGGCCTCTTCTGAATCCAGGCTGAACTTCCAGTAGATCTCTATGTACTGTTCTAGCCATTTTTAATGATTGCCAGCAGTATTTTGCTTGCATAAAATATTAATTACATTATTTGATAATCTCCACATTCTGTTGGATCATATTATTGAAAATAGAACAAATATAGATACCTTCCTATCAGTTGCTCAGGTAACTGTCTTTCAAATTTTGTGGCACGGAATGGTGAATATGTCTATAGCTGCAACTGTTATTTGAAACATGTCAATTGGTATCCTGTTGATTCCTGGGGCCTTATCTTTTGCTAATGCCTTAGGTGCAACTTGAACTTCTTCCTTCATTACCATTGGCTCTTGATCATATAATATTTCCTGAAACATTTCCGTGCCAATCAATTCTTTTTGATACAATGATTCTGTGTATATCTTCCATCTTCTTTTGATGCTTCCTGGTCAACCAAAAAAGGCTGGTCTAGTTTCCACAAATTCTTTTTTGTTTATTTAGAAATGTTGTAATTTCACGATCATATTTGTGGGACAATTTTGTTTCACATATGTTGGGCATTTTGTCAGGAGGTGCCAGTCCCTGGAAAAAAAGACACCATGTAAGGAGCTCTGGTGGCCTAGTGGCAGGAAGCTGCACTGCAATCCTAGAGGTGGTGGTTCAAATCCATCAGACACTCTGCTGAAGAAGGAGCGGCAATCTCCTCCTGTACCAGTCAGATCTGATTTGATGGTATACACACAAAATATAATAAAATAAAAATAATCTTTTTTAAAGAAAGTTGTCAACTATTAAAAAAAAGACACCATGATTTGAAAGGTCAGTGAGAATTCATCCTCAACAAGATGGCTTGACACAATGACTTCATTGAGCAATGGGCTTGAACAGAGCAAAGATTGTGAAGATAGTTGCATTGTTGTTGTTTGGTGCTGTTGAGTCAAGTATGACCCATGGTGACCCTATATACAACAGATATGAACCCTGTTCTATCCTATGCCGTCCTCACACTTCCTGACACACTAGACCCCGCTATGGGAGTCACTGTGTCAATCCACCTCACTGAGGGTCTTCTCCTTCCCTGACCCTCTGCCTTTCCAAGCATGATGTCCTCTTCCAATGAATAGCCTCTCCTAGCAACATGTCCAAAGTATGTGAGACAAAGCTTTATCATCTTTGCCTCCAAGGAACACTCTGGCTGCACTTTCTCCAAGACATAATTAGTTTGTTCTTTTGGCAGGCCATGGAATGTTCAGTATTCTTCTTTAATCCAAAAACTCAAAGGCATCAATTCTTCTGTCATCCTTTGTCATTATCCAGCTTTCAGATGCATACTAAGTAATTGGAAAGACCATGGCCTGAATCAGACACACCTTAGTCCTCAAACTGACATCATTGCTCCTCAATACATTGGAGAAGTCCCTGACAGCAGACACCCACCCTGCCCTGCCGCTCCCCCCAGTACACTAAGTCTCTTGGTTTCCTGACTGCCAGTGCCAAGGGTATTGATTGTGGATCCAAGTTAGATGAAATTGTTGACAGTTTCAAACTTTTCCCATCTATCATGACACTACCTATCGGTCCATTGGTAAGAATTTTTGTTTTTCTTAATGCTGAGATGCCGTCCATATTGAAGGCTGTGTTCTTTGATCTTCTGCAATACATGCTTCAAATCCTTCTCAATTTTTTCAAGTAAGGAGGACTTGAACTATGAGGAGGACTTTTGTTTCCTAAGTCTTCCTCATAGTTGCTATGAGTTGGACTGTTTCAAAAGCAAATAACAAAACATAATTCTCAATTGGCATTTTTTTCCTTTCAGAATTTGACATATATCATTATCTTCTTTCTTGTATGAATTTTGCTCAGAAATAACAGTTTAGTTTCTTAGTTATCTTTGTAGGTAACTGGATTTTTTCTCTGTTGTTTTATGTATTATTTCTTTGTCTTTAATTTTGGAAAATTTGTTTATGCTATGTCTTGTTGCTTTTCTTTTGGATTCTGTCCTGCTTAGGGTTCTCTCAGGGTCTGGGGAAGGTTTTCCTTAGCAAATGTCAATGATTTCCTCTGTGCTCTTTTGGGTCTTTTCCTGTTCTAGACTTCAAATCTTATGTAAGTTATTCCTCTTGATGTTGTCCCACATAGCTCTTTGCTTTCTTCATTTTATTTCTTTTTAAAAATTATTCCTCTCTCAGATTAGTATTGAAAGATTTGTCCTCTATTTCCCCAAGTCTGTGTTGCATTGCTTCAGTTTTGTTCTTTTGTCTTCCCAATGCATTATCTATTTCTGAAATTTTAGTCTTCATATTGTGAATTTCAATTAGCTGACTTTGTACTGCCTCTAATTTTCCATTTATTTGATATCTTTGGTCTTGTATTGATTTTTTCAATTCTTCTAAACTTTTTTGTGTTTTTTTAAATTTGTTTTATGATGTCCTAGAAATTTCTAATCCATCAAATAATGACACTTATCTGTCATGTTAAATAATCGCCTACTGGGAAATTCTAAGACAATTTCTTCCTGTGAAATATTTTCTGGTTCTGTATTATGGTGATTTTTTTTTGACCTGTTTTGTTGACTGATTTAAAGTTATTTGCTACCTCTGAGAAATTAGAGTAAAGTTTTATTTTTATTACTTTGATAATGCTGATTGAGCTAGTGTGTGTGTTGTGTCCTTACTAATTTGATCATTCTTATCACTTCACCTTTTGTCTTCTAGTAGGTGTGAAAGAGCATGCAGGTATTTGTCCAAGTCTCCTCACTGTTTGTATAGAACAACTGAGGGTGGATTAGACCAGTGTGGGTTGTAGTGTGGAGTTGATTAGGAGGAGCTATCTTTACTCTTGTCTGCTGAGTAAAGTTTTAGAGGTGCATGCATATTATTGCTGGGTGCTTTCAGATGCGACAAAGGAAAAGGAAAACAAAACAAAACACCACAAAACGACTCCCAAAACAAAACCAAGATTAGGTAGCAAAAGAATACAGGAAAATAAAAACCAAGAGGGTTACAAAAGGAATGAGAGTCTGAACAGAAAAGCCAAAATGAGGGAAAACTGAAGGAGATTGGCAATGAAAAGTGCGGGGGGAAAGCTAGAGAGAAGAGCATGTGGGAAGATGTAAAAAAAAAAAAAAAAAAGAAAGAAAGAAAAGAAAAACCCAAAATAAAAAACAAGGGAAAATTTAAAAAGCAATGGTAAATTAAAATAAGAGAGAAAAAAGGAGGGATTGTCAAGAGGCCACTTGATTGATGCTCTTACCATTGCTGTGGTGGCCAGAGGCACTTTGGGTAGCCTTAGATGGTATATCTGCCAGTGCAGCAGATTAGAGTTGGGATGCTCAATCAAGCAGAGTTTCTGCTCATCTTAAAGATAGCAGAGGCCCCGAAATGTGAGGCAGTCATGGATAGCACCTCTTCACATCCAGAGGGTGTTGAAGAGTAAACCACTACCACCCATTCTGGGATGGAGTTTCTCTTATCCTCAGAAGATACTAGGGCAGTACCCCTGACTAGAGATACCTCTGTCAATCTAGGGAATGGGTGTGGTCAGACTATTGGGTTAGATATGATTAGTATGAAGAGATAGGACTGTTGTTTTGTGCTTTTGAGTCAGGGCAAATTCATAACAGACCTGCTTGTGGGTGTACAGAAGCTGTAGACCACAAAAGAGGAGATTGTCTATCTTTCTTCTGCAGAGGAGCTGGTGAATTAGAACTGCAGACCTTTACATTGGCACTACAAGGCCTTACCACTATTCCACCAGAGCTCCCTTATGTGAAGAGCTGGTCACTGACTACCTGTGATGCCCAAGCAACCCACAGAGGGTATACTTCTTCAAGCATGACTGTGGCTTATGCCAGGTGAAGTATCTTCAAGGGTAGCCAGTAAGAGACAAAGGCCCTAGTCAGAGGTAATGCTCCCACCAAACCAAGATTCTGACTATAGGCCAAGCTTGGCACAGTCTGCTGGCTCCTGGAGGGAGTCTGTGAGTGTAGAGTTGAGGGCAATACATTTCTCCTGGAAGTGGACCTCAGACAGAACTGACAATCAAACAGGGAACATTGCCAGTCCCCTAGTAGATGGTGGGGAAAGTTGCTCCCCTGACCCGCGCCCCTGGAGGACACGAGGGACAAGCTTGGAGACTGCACCTGTCCCATGGTCAGCCAGCTGCCGCGTGGTTACTGTCCCAGCCCTTGCTTCACGCACCAACCAGCTAGCCCTTCAAAACGGCTGAGCCAAGCTGTTTACACTTCTGTGCTCAGTTTGCCATCTTATTTTGTGTTTACATTCAGTTTCTTGCTTTAGTAAGTGTTTGAATTACCTTTTTTTTTGGTTTCTGATAAAAGAGTTTAATTTCTGATAAAATTAGCATAAACAAAGAAGCGCATTATATAATAATCAAAGAGCCAGTGAAACAGTAGGATACAGTGTGTATATATTTATATAAACGTACAAACAACAACAAGAAGTCATTGCTGTTGAGTAGCGATTGACTCATAGCTGGCTGCCCAACAGTTTTTCAGAGGCTGTAAATCATGTGGTAGGAGTGTGTCCCTTTTCCCTCCATTGTCTAATTAGGGAATTTGAGCTAATTGCCTTCAGGTTGGCAGTGCAACTTTGTTTTTGTGTGCCACTGAAACAACTCAAGAATTACTTTTTTTTTTTTAAATTTAGGTTGTTTATTTTTCATTTCAATGAACATTTACAGAGATTTTGGGATTCCATTCATTCATTGTTGCACCCCTCTCCCCGCACAAACCCCTTCCCCCCCCAAGAATTACTTTTTAAAAGGTGTTTTTTTAGACTCAAGGTTCCAGAATTCTCATCTGAATCTGTTATCTTTGTTTTCTGGTGTCTCTGTTGAAGAGGACTAGGGCCCCTCCCTGTCTGTCTCATCCACCATCTTCACGTGGAAGTCAGGGAAACATTATTTTACTATTTTTTTTGTTTTCTTCTAATTATTAGTTCATCATCAAAAAAGTTTATGGATACAAACTTATAAAGGCTAGTTACCACAAAATTGGAGCTGGGGCATCTGAAAAATCAACAAAATCAACAACTCTAAAAATACTGACTCAGTGAAAAATGAAATTTACCACTCTATTATGTGCTTGAGAAAAAGAGAGAAAAACCTTCAACGAGATTGACACAGCGACTATCGCGATGGGCGGGAGCATGTGGGAGAGCATGAGGATGGCATAAGATAGAGCAAGGTTCAGATCTGTCATTCATAGGGTTTCTATGAGCTGTAGTCTACTCGATGGCACCTAACAACAACAACACATGCAGGCTAAACCATGAGACTGGAGCCATCATTTTAACTGAATAATAGTGCTGGCTTTTACTGGAGTGCATGAAAAGATTCAAAAGTGAATCAGCATGCACCTTCAATCTTGTGGGTACATGAAATAATATAAACTGGACTTGTGAGAAATGTTCTTGTTATTATAACTATGGATATTTTTTTCTGGATAAAATATTTCTGATGAAACACTGAAGAGATCTTTTAGGTCAGTCATTTTACTGTCACTTCCTCTGACAGCTTTATAGTGCAAACCCCACTTCCCACCCACTTCCCTGTTGTTTGTATTATAGTAACAGTAGGTCTATCCTACCCTCACCTGCAAAGGAGGAACCAAAAATAGTAATTTTCTGTTCTTTTTTTTTAAATGTTTGTTTGTTTTCAGGGGACCTACACTACGGGTATAGATATTACTTATGCCAATAAGCTTTCTATTCCAGTCCCTAATGTAACAGAGGATACGAAGCACATACCTGTGAAAAACCAGAAGTGGAAGCTAAGAACAATGGTAGGTTCCAGTGACATCTGGGGCAAGAGGCTGTGAGTATCATGTTCTGAGAAGGTTAAGTACAGACTTAGCTATCCTGTGACGAGATAGGATCATGAAAGTTAACACTCCCTAAGAGAGATGAGAAATCTAGGTTGCTAGAGACATCCAGAGTGCTCCTTGGAGGCAAAGATGATAAAGCATCGTCTCATATACTTAGAGGATATTGTTAGGACAGTTATTCCTTGGAGAGGGACATCATCCTTTGGAAGGTGGAGGGATGGGAAAAGAGAGGAAGGCCGTCCACCAAGTAGATTGACATGGTGACTGTGGCTTGAGTGTGTCAGAGATTGTGAGGATGGCGTGGGACAGGACAGCATTCAGATCAGTTGTTCATAGGATTGTTTTGATTTGACTTGAAGGCACCTATCAACCAAAACAACTCATTAACTACTTTAGCTTCTGATCTTTGGCTTTTCATCATGTTATAATAGCCACAGCTTGGAGGACAAAACTACAAAGACTGTTGTGCCCATGCCTTGGGAGACTGGAGAGATGAGCAGGTAGAGATGCACATCTAAGGTAAAGTTGGAGCTGTATTTTCATTCTAAGTATTTAATTTTCAGAATGACTACAACCTGTGGATGGCATACCAGAACCAGGAGACTGTGATGGTCCAGATGGAGGAGAGAAATGTCTACTGCGGAACCTATAACATCCGCATTCTCTCTGACAAGTAGGTACTTGGATCAAGGCCTACATCTTCAAGACCCTTGTGCTGCCAGCACTGAAGGGTACTATTGCCTTGATCTTTGCTTACTTGGAAGGGCAATCCTCGCCTTACTTCACATTCCACCTAAACTAGTATGAGAACTCCTTTGAAGAGCGGGTGTTTGATTTTGAATCATTCTCTATAGTGCACAGAAAATGTTTGCCCCTTATTTCTCAGTTCTTGTGCATGTAATTATCCCCTTTGTAATATTTTAATGTTTTAGTCTAACTTCAGGAGCAACATGAAAAAGAATCAGAAAAAAAAGATCTTCCAAATACCACAAAACCCCCAAAGTCTACTGTAATCTGATACTCCAGAGATAACCCTATGATACCACTGTTAATATTTTTATATCTTTCTATAATTTTTCTTTGAATATATAAACACATATTCTAAATAGAAATAGGATTGTAGTATACATCTTTCTGAAACCATTCCACCAGAATGCTAGACACATCTCCATGTTAATGATGACAATTGCATTTATAATTATTTCATAGTATAACATCATTTGGATATGCTATAAGATGATCTTCTGGTAAACAAATTTCTACCACATTTTAGGCATAGGATCTTATTCTTTTTTTCATAGGAAATGCCGTATCTTTAACACTGAATTGTATCATCAAATTGAATCTTGAAAATACATTGTGGTGGAAGAAAGAGCAGAGGCAAAATTAGCTTTCAATGGGTAATAAGGAGATCAGAGCTCTTTTAAAGAGATGATGATGGTTTGAACTGTGCATGGTAAATGGTACAAGGATCCATAGTGTTAAGAATTGTCTCTCATATTTAGAATGACTACATAGCTGTGTTTATATAGAATAGTGACACTTTGTCTTATTTTACTGGAATAATTCATAATAACATCTCTTTTAATAAAAAGTGTCCTAGTTTGGACAACAAGTTATTTGGTAACTATACTCATGTCTTACCTATTTGCTAATAACCCTAACATTAAAAAATAAAAGAAATTAATTGTGTTTTCTTGAACTATAAGCTCCTTAAAGTCAGGCCCATATGCTACAATTTATATTCTCCATGGTATTTATTAATATAAGACTTTAAATACAATCCATGCTTATTTGGTACTGTTGTTGTTGTTTGCCATTGAGTCAGAACCAACCCATAGCTGACCCTCCAGTAGGTTTTCAGAGGCAGTAAATTGTATTGGAGAAGATTGCCTTTCCTTCTGCTGGGCAGATGGTAAATTTCAACTGCATGCCTTTGGGATAGCAGTACAGATTCTTACCACTAGGCCACCAGAACTCCCCTAGAGATGTTGTTGCTATTATGTATCATTAAAGTTGAGGATGACTCATAGCCACCCTATGAACAGCCAACCTGAAACGTGCTCTAACCTGTGTGGTCCTCACCATCCCTGAAACATTCAAGCTCATTGCTGAAGTCACCTTGTCAATCCATCTCATTGGAGGTCTTTCTCTCCTTTGCTGACCCCTATCTTTCTAAGCTTGATAGCTCTCTGCAATAAATAGCCTCACCTAACAATATGTCAAAAGTATGAAAGATGAAGCTTCACCATCTTTGCCTCCAAGGAGCACTCTGGCTGTACTTTCTCCATGACATAACTATTTGTTCTTTGGGCAGTCCATAGGATATGCAGTACTCTTCTCCAGCACCACAACTCAAAGTCATCATTTTTCCCCCCTGTCATCCTTATTCATTGTCCAGCTCTCTAATGTGTAGCAGGTGATTGAGAAGGCCATGGCCTGAATTAGGCGCACCTTAGTCTTCTGACATGATTGCTCTTTAGCAATGCTCTTCTGGAAAGGTCCCTAACACTGGATTTGCTCAATGCAATACTCCTTCTTTTGGTACCAAGGGTGTTTATTGTTGATCTAAAGATCCATTAAATCATTGAAAGCTTCAACCCTTTTTCCATGTATAATAAAGTTGACTGTTGATCCTTTGACAAGTATTTTTGTTTTCTTGGTGTTGCGAAGTAATCCATACCAAAGGCTGTAGTCCTTGATCTTCTGCAGCAAGTGTTCCATATCCTCCTCATTTTCAGAAAGCAAAATTGTGTCATCTGCATAACACAAGTTGTTGATGAGTCTTATTCCAATCCTGATGCTACAGTCTTCCTTATAGAGCCCAGCTTCTTGAATTATTTGCTCAGAATACAGATTGAATAGGCATAAAGAAAAGGCACAATTCACACCCTTCCTAATTTTAACCCATGCAATATTTCCTTGCTCTGTTTGGACAACAGCTTCCTGGTCTAGTTTTTGTATGAACACAATTAAGTCTCCTGGGATTCCCATTCTACTCAATGTTAGCCATAATTTGTTGTTATCCCAGTCAAATGCTTCTGCAGAGTCAATAAAACACAAATAACTATTCTTCAGGAATTCTTTACTTTCAGCTAGGATCCATCTGACATCAGCAATGATACCCCTGGTGCTACAGCCTCTTCTAAAACCAACCTGAACTTCTGGTTGTTCCCTATTGCTGTTCCCTGCTCTAGGTGTTTTTGAATGATCTTAAACAATATTTTGTTTTCATGAGATAGTAATGTTTGATTTTGCATTGTTCGATAATTTCCACATTCTGTTGGATCACCTTTCCCAGGAATGGGGATAAATATGGATCTCTTCCAGTCAGCTGTCCTCCGTATTTCCTGACATAAACTAGTGAGCCCATCCAGGGCTGCATCTACTAGTTGAAACATGTCAATTGGTATTTCATTAATTCCTAGGGCCTTAATTTTTTGCTAATGCCTTCGGTACAGCTTGAACTTCATACTTCATTATAATTGGCTCTTGTTCATGTGGTTCTTTCTGAAAGTTTTCTGCTGTGTGTTGGCTGTAAGCCACACTGTAATTAAGATGACATGAGTTTTGTTCTTGAAGGTTTATATTTTACTATGGGGGGGAAATGGATTCTTAAAAACCACAAATAATTCACACATAATGTGTTAAGAGCTATGATCAAAGGTGTGTGTATATGTGTAAGATATTATGAGAACCCAAATTGGAAAAGAATTCCTTTGGCTTAAATGAAGTGGGAGCAAAAAGAGGCAATCAGGTTGATTCACGACACAGTAATGAGGGCTTCTTGATTCTCGATGAATTACCATTCAAGAATCATTAGCTTTACTACTTCTGGAGCATGCTTCTCAGGGCGTGGCTGCACTGTTTTGGCCATGTCTCTGGTTGATAGGCATAATTAATGCTTTAACCAATGACAAAGCATGACCAGTAACCAAGGAAAACACTAAAGAGGTGACAAACAAATAAATGACACTTATTCAATCGAATAAGACCAATAGAGTCTATGCTCAAATTATAAGTGTGGGCTGCTGATTCCTGATAAGGAAGCCTAGGAGAGACATCCTTGTAGATGCCCACCAAGCCTGTTAGCACTTGGCCTTGCCTTCTACTACTTTCCTTGATGTAAAGCCCCACCTTTTCCATCACACCACTACTGCATACATCATGGTACTAAGTCATCTTCAGAAAGGATGCTAATTCTTCTTTCTTGGATAATCCTGTTTACTGGCAACTCAGGTGGGATCAAAACAGAATTATCCACTATTCCGGGGGAGATTTGGTAGCTGTGTCATCAAATAGGAATATTCACCTTCTGGACATCATACGTTTAAAGGAGATACCTATTAAGTTCCGAGGACACACTGGAAGCATCCACGCCCTCTTCTTATGTGAGAAAGAAAACGTCCTCCTGAGCGGAAGCTATGACCTGAGTATCAGGTGAGTAGCCCAAAGAGGCTGTGGTCTTCATCCCTCAGGGACCAAAGTTAGTCTCTGGAGAAGCATGCATGCTTTTCTGCTTTGTGTTTATTGAAGAGTTAGCCTATTTGTTTTTAACTTCCAGAGGAGCCCCAAAATGGCAGGGGGTGTGGCAAGGTAAAACCCAAGAATTTGTTTCTTTACATTAAATAGACAGATTTATTACAATTGCAGTTGGTACTTTCAAACTGGGAGCTCTGGTGGCCTAGATGCAAGGAGCTGCGCTGCAATCCTGCAGGCATGTGGTTCGAGGCCACCATCTATCTGCTCTGCAGAAGGATGGGCAGTTTCCTTCTATGCGATTAACTGCCTCTGAAAACCCACTGGAGTGTCACCTATGGGTTGGTTCTGACTCAACGGTACACAACAACAACAACAATTTTCAAACTGAAGTCTACCAACACCATGTCTTTAAAAACTCATGTATAAATTAACGAGTCTGTAACTAAGGCTAACTCCTTTCACCGACAAATTTCATCTTTGGATACAAAGCTAAGTGGATAGTCCTTACAGAGGACTATCTTTAAAAAGAGGCGGGGAAAAGAAAAGAAAAGAAAAACAAAAAAAAAATCCAAAAAACAAAAACAAAAACAAAAAACAAAAAAACCTCATGTATACAGGCAACAGAGGATCCATCAAATAAATCAGAAAAAGTTTCTTTTTGAATATTCTTGGATAAGAACATAATTTAGAATTCTTTTTATAGATTCCTTCAGGGGAAAGACAGGAGATATTGTGTGTGTGTGTGTATGATTATGATATAGATGCAAAATGATGCTTGCTTGCATGCATGCATGTTGTTGTTGTGTACGATCGGGCTGAAAGTGACCCTCCAGCAAGTTTTCAGAGGTAGTTAATTGCACGGGAGGAGATTGCTCATCCTTTTCCCACGGAGTAGCTAGTGTATTTGAACTGCGTGCCTTGCAGTGCAAATTCTTGTCACTAGGCACAGTTAAAAAGAAAAGAATATTAAAAAAAACCTTTCTCCAAAGCTTCCTAGGCTCCCTATCCTTATTGCTTCTTTCTTCCTCCTAATCAAATATGATGCTATACTAAAGATTATACTACTTATTCTTTGCTTCTTTTTATAATTGTTTTAAAACATACATCTGCTTGGATGTCAATTATGGTCTCTTTGGGGTATATTCCCAGTAGAACAATTGCTGGGTTGAATGGTATTTCTATTTGCAACTTTTTGAGAAAATGCCATACATCTTTCCATAGTGGTTGCACCATTTTATACTCCTACGAACAGTGAATAAGGGTTCCAGTTTCTCCACAACCTCACCAGCATTTGTTGTTTGCTGTTCTGTTAATTTTTGCTATCCTTACTGGGGTGAGATGATATCTCATAGTTGTTTTTCTTTTTACAATTTTCACTAACTCTTTTTGTGTCTCTAAAGAAATTACTTTTGCTTGTTTTTCACTTAATTTAAATGGAATAGTATTTTGAATAATGAATAAGAAAGAAGAAAAATAAATGCCTTTGAAACTGGTATTGGAGACAAGTATTGAGTATACTGTGGACTGCCAAAAGAACAAACAAATCTGTCTTGGAGGAGGTGTAAGCAGAGCGTTTCTTAGAGGCAAAGTTGGTGTAACTTCTTCTCATACGTATTGGATATATTGTCAGTAGGGGCCAGTCCTTGGAAAAAGATACAACGATTAAAAGCAGAAAGGTATAAAATAGCAGGAAGACTCTCAATAAGATGAATGGACACAGTGACTATACCTGTGGGTTGCAGGATGATGGAGATTATGACAATTGTGCAGACAGGGCAAGGGTCAGAGCTGTGGTATGTAGGGTCATTAAGAGTCATAGCTGACAACCCAGAATGACAGCACAGTTCTACAGTAGTGAAGCAATCGCTACTTCTTGCTCACAGTTGGTATCATCCAACTTTCATATCTTTGCCACTTAAATAGTTATAAAATTGTGCTCACCTGGTTATCAAGAAGTTTATTCACTTTTAAGGTTTCTATAAGTTGCCTTTGTACATTGTAGCGAAAGCACAGACTTGGACTCTCTTAGAGGTAAAGGCAAAAAAAGTTTCATTATAGAAAAAATGTTGTGAAATGGGAAGCAACCTAAAAAAAAAAAATAAAAGAAGGCTAAAGCTAAGTAAAGGTTTATACACAGAAACAATTGTGGAGGATTGCCAGGGTGGGGGGGAGGGTGACTGGAACAGAGACTGGTGAATGGGTGGAAAAATTAAAGGGAAAGGCCAGGTGCGGTGGGGATTTGATATGTAATATGTAGTATGTAACTATAGGTGTAATAAATGGCACTAATCAATTGTAATTAATTCTAAAACAAGGTATATATAAAGGACTGAACAAAAACACTTTTTTTTTTTTAAAAAAAAGAAATGCTCCAAATTGCAGAAGGACAGAGAAGGCTTTTCAAAAAATTATTTTATTTTTATTGTAGTTTGAGTGAAAGTTTACAAAGAAAATTGGTTTTCCTTTCAACAATCCATACACCTTATGTTTTGTCACATCGATTACATGTTGTGACATTACCCTTCCCACTTTCTCCCTGTGTTTCCTATTTTCATTTGTCCTTCTATCCTGTACTTTCCCGCTTTCTGAGTTTTAGTCTACGGCAAATGCTAACCGTGTGTCCACGCATGGTTGCTTATTCTAAGGACTATTTGACTCTGGTGTTCTGATCACTTAACAGATCTGCTGTTTGAGCTGAGTCGCGGGCTGATAGAAATTCCAGTCTTGAAGCATGACTAAAGTTTCTAATAGACCAATTGGTGTGGTCTTCCCTCCCCCCCCCCCAATTGGTGTGGTCTTTTTTATGGTTCTGAGTTTGGTTACATATTTTTCTTTTACTCCACTGGGAACCTTTTGTTGTGATTTCTTTGAGAGCACTCAGGAGTGGTAGACTGATACCATATAGTCTGCCTGGTATTAATGCTCATAGGGACTGAAGTCCAAACATATTCTTATATAATTTTAGACATATTTTTAAAATATCTTTTTTAATCTAAATTATGATGCGAAGTGGCACATTATTCTTGTTTGAATGAGTTCCATGAATTCTAATTCATTTTATTGACCTTTCTTCTTAATGTCACCAGACATTGCTAACTTGTTAGTTACTGTTCAAATGCTACATTCATTAGAGCATCATTTCTCAACCTCAGAAGTATTGCCATTTGGGCTGGAGAATTCTTTGTCCTTGGAACTGTTCTACATATTGTACTCTGTTTAGCAGTAACTGTGACCTCTACCTACTAGATGCCAGTAGAGACTTCTCCCTGCTGTGACAAAAATGTCTTCAGACTTTGTCAGATAATCCCAATTGACAATCATGGCATAAGTGCCTGTAATTCTTTGTGTTGGGTATGGGGGAAAGCCTTATGGGGTAACTGTCACTATTATCTTTTCCATTTTATCAATGAGGAAATGAAGCTTACACAAAAATTAAGAAACAGAAAAAGAAACATGTTGCAGTTAGAATCAAATCAAGGTATCTGGATTTGAGCTTTATTCTGAAACTTTGCTGCTTTCGAACTACCTGTAGTATAGATCCATCATCTACACTTTGATCTCTTGAATTGTCAGAAACTCTCAAAAAATATCTTTTGTACTGATTCCCACAGATGCTGGGATCTGAAAACTGGGAATTTCATACGAATCTTCTATGGCCACCAAGGGACAATCAATTGCATAGATTTATGTAAGAAGAAGCTCGTATCTGGAGGAAAGGATTGCCAGGTGAAAGGTAAGAAATACCTTGAACTTTTCAGGAAGTTTCTTCACATCCACATTTCCAAAATGTTCATGAGTTTTACTTATTTCTATAAACAGCAACTTATTTTTTCTTTTTTAAAATTATTATTCATTGTTGCACTTTTCTCCCTGCGCAACCTCCCCCTCCAATTCACTCTTCTCTTTGAACAGTAAAAGAAAATTCTTTCATTGTTATACAATCCCTCCCCTCAAGTCCACTCCACTATGCAGCCTTCGTACTGGACTCCTGTTATGACAATACCTATTCGTATATGCCTTTTAAACAGTTCTCTTCCTCATCTGTTTCAATGCAGTATACATTATTGAACCCATTTTTCTCAGTCTCCCCCAAACCCAGATGTCAGTCCTATTTTACAACAGTGTCACTATGCAGTATTTGTCTTTTTGTGATTGAGATACTTTACTCAGCATAATGTCCTCCAGGGTCACCCATTTTGAATAATATTGCATGAGTTCCCTGTTTTTCAAAGCAGCATAATATTCTAGTGTGTGAATATACCAGAGCTTCTCTATCCATTTATTTGTTGATGGGCACTTAGGTTGTTTCCAACTCTTTGCTACTATGAACAAAGTGGAAATAAACATGGGTGTGTATATATCTGCTTGTGTGGTGGATATGGTTTCTTTGGGGTATATTCTCAGTAGTGGAATTGCCGGGTCAAATGTTATTTCTATTTGCAACATTTTGAGAAAGCGCCAAGCTTTATTAGTAGTTTTATTCAAATCAAAGAATACAATTCAATGCATCATCAATTCAGCAATCCATAATTCACTGCACTAGATGTTGGGGTTGGAAGCAGGAGTGGTATCCACTTTTTAAATTTCTGAATGCCTCCGAAAATTCTATGAACTTTGATAAATGTCGATAGTTATAGAAAGGCTTCAGGCCTTTTGTTCATAGGGTCACTGTGAGTCATGCTCAAATCAAAGGCAATCAACAGAAGCAACAACAACATTAGATGTTGGGGAGAAGAAAATGGGTATGATATGACTTTTTAGATAAAAGGCTGATTATATAGTCTCCTAATACAGAGAAAGATGCAAAAGTACGATGGGGATTGTAGTAACTTGATAACAGCTGTCATTTATTGGCTACTAACTTTGGGACAGGGTAGAAGATGGACAGTTTCATACTGTTGCTGCTGACAGCCGTGGAAATCTGAGCTAGGGTTGCTATTTGGTCAGAGCCCACTTTGTGGTGGTGAGTCAACTTTGTGTATTCAATCCCACAAGAACTCCCTGGGGTAGCTGAAGAGGAATCTGTTACTGATTGCAATTCATAGTGACCCAATATGACAAAGTGTCCCATCAAGTGTCTAAGGCTTTACCTTTATGGAAACCAATTGTCACATCTTTCTCCTGAGTATTGGCTGGTAAGTTCGAACCTCTGACTTTTAGTTAGCAACTCAGCACTTAACCGTTGTGGCACTGGGGCACTTGGATACAAAGGGATAGTCCAAGATTCAGAGTGGGAAAAAAACTTGCCTTAAATAAAAGTTGCTATGTGATAGAGTTGGGAGTTGAATCTAGGGCTCCTAACTGCACGCTGTGTTCTAAGGCAGTTTAGAAATTAGCACAGAATAGGACAAGGTTCTGATCTGTCATTCATAAGGTCAGGATGAGTTGAGTCCTGGTCAACTTGATGGCACCTAACAACAACCCACAGAAATTAGGGAAAGGTCCAAAGACAGGGTGCTATGTGAGGGCAGTATTGAGGGTTATTAGCTTACTAGGAAGAGAGGTGGGAGTTGATAGGGAATCCCACACACAGAAGACATTCAGAGAAGGGCGGAAAAAAATTACATAATCAGAGACTTTGTGCTGTTTGGGTGGTTAGATTGCAGCATGGGGCGATGGCAATAAGGCTGTTTAGAGCCAGAATGTAGAGTCTTCCGCTTCACAGGAGGAGGTTGAGCTTTATCCTCCAGGTACCTGAGGAGATGTAAATGCATTTTACACTGGGAATTGATAACAAACATGTGTTTTAGAAAAAATATCTCTAGGGATAATGTGGAGGGAATATTTGGAGAGAAGATGATCTGGAGGAAATACTCATGTTAAAATGCTCCTCATTCTAAAGAGCTACCATGATGCCTTCAGAACATGTGAGAAAAGGCAAACGTGCAGAAACTGGGATGGATGAGTTTACAGTCAATGGCCCAGAGTGCAGGGAGATTTCTAGTGTGAGAATCGACAGTATTCGATTGTGTGGATTGTAATAAATTATGAATGGCGCTGAGAAAAACCCTATGCCAAGAAGCAATTATCCAAACAGAATAAGTGAATGCTGCATGAAAGGTGTGCATCAGGGTTGTATCCTTTCTCTATAGCTATTCAATCTGTATGTTGATCAAATTATTTGAGAAGCTAGAGGAAGACCCTTGATGAGATGGATTGATTCCGTAACTGGGGTAATGGTGGTAGGTGTGTCAGAGATAGTGATATTGGCACAGGATAGGACAGAGTTTTAGGATGTTGTACATAGGGTCACTATGAGTCACAGGTAACTTGACAGCACATAACAACAATGACAACAACTGTATGAAGAATATGGCATTGTGTGGTATGTATGCAGATGACACAATTTTGCTTGCAGAATGTGAAGAAGACTTCAAGGACTTACTAAAGATTAAAGACTACAGCCTTCACTATTGATTGCATCTCAACATCAAGAAAATCAAAGTTCTGACCACTAGACCAAAGGCAACATAATGATAGGTGGAAAAAAGATTGACACTTCCATGATCTTGTGATGGTGAATAACACTGCTATGAACATTGGTGTATAGATCTCTGTGTCTCAGTTCTAATGTCCTTGGGATGTGTTAGTAGTAGTGGAATTGTGGGGTCATATGGAGTTTCTATGCTCAATGTTTTTAGGAAACACTAAACCACCTTCCAGAGTGGTTGTTATCATTTTACAGTCCCACCAACAGTGTGTGAGAGTTCCCACCTCTCCACATCCTCTCCAACATTTATTACTTCCTGCCCTACTAAACTTTGCCATTGCTACTGGGCATCTCTCTTATTGCTAGTGATTTTGAGATTTCCTCATGTGTCTGTTGGCCATATGAATGTCTTCATCTGTGAGAAGACGTCTTTCCATGTCTTTTGTCCATTTTGTAATTGGGTTATTAGTCTTTTTCTTCTGGAGGTTCAGGAGTATCCTTTAAACTTTTATTATGAGACTCTTGTCTGAGATGCTATTGTCAATGTTTGTTCCCAGTAAGTAGGCTTCCCCCACCCCAATTCTGTTGGAAAAAGTTTTTGATGGGCACAGAGATTTAATTTTTAGAAAGTCCATCAACTTTTTCTTCTCCAAATTGTGCATTTCTGGCTGTATTTGTCAGTCTCTTATAAAGAGGTTAGGCCTTCTAAGTTTGGTCTCAGTTTGTATCTTAGGAACTTTGTGGTTTTTTACTTCCAGGTCTCTGATCCACTATGAGTTGATTTTTGTGTATGATGTGAGATGTGGATCCTGTTTCAGCTTTCTGCACGTGGCAGTTCCGTTTTGCCAGCATCATTTATTGAAGAGGTTATCATTTCCCCATTTGATAGGTTTGGTTTCTTTGTCAAATATCAGTTGACCATTGATAGATGGGTTTATTTCTGGGTTCTCAATTCTGTTCCATTGGTGTCTGTGTCTGTCATTGTAACAATACCTTGCTGTTTTGGTTACTACTGCTGTGTAGTATGTTTTCAGGTCAGAGAGTGCTATGCTTCCCACTTCCTTTTTGTTTTTCAGAAGTGTTTTGCTTATTTAGGGTCTCCATCCTCTCCGAATAAACTTGACAATTTCCCTTTTGATCTCTTTGTGAAATGAATTTGGTATCTGTATTGGGATTGCATACAACTACAACCAAAAGAAATTGTGGTACAGTCACACAATGGAATACTACACAGCACTCAGAAGCAATGATTTTGAAAAATACTGTGTAACTTGGGAGAGGCTGAAGAACACGATGCTGAGTGAATTGATGTGTTCTCATAAGGACAAATACTGCATAGAGCATTATTGTAAAAATAGAAGGATAACCAGTAAAACATGTATGAGAGCTCAAGAGGGGGAGGGCTAAGGGTGGATAAGGGCAAAACCACAGGGTTGGACAGATTTGGTGGGTGGAGGAAGAAGAGAGGGGAATGGGAAGACAGGGTAATGATGGGCAAGGTCCAATGGTGATTAATTTTATAAAATATAATGCCCAAGAATGATTGAAACACAATGTGAATGAAGAATAGTGTGAAACACAGTATATATGAACTTTGTAAGCAAAATAATAATAATAATAATAATAATAATAATAGAAGCTTCCAAGAATTTCATTTACTTGAATCCACAGTTAATACTCATGGTAACTGATGCTGATTTTAGGTATTGTCTAGTCAACTATGACTCATTAACAATGACCCTATTAACAATGGATCTGAACCTTGTCCTATCTTGTGCCATATTTTTCATCCCTGATGTACTAGAGCCCATTGTTGTAGTCATGGTGTCAAACTATCTTGTTGAGGGTCTTCTGCTCTTTCACTGACCTTTTCAAGCATGATGTCTTCTCTCTCTTTCTCTCCTTCAGTGTGGGATATAGACACGGCGAAGTGCCTGAAGACCTTTAAGCACAAAGAACCCATCTTGGCCACCAAGATCAATGACACCTACATAGTGAGCAGCTGTGAGCAAGGGATGGTCAAGGTGTGGCACATTGCCATGGCCCAGCTGGTAAAGGTGAGAGAGAAAAAAGACTGCAGGGGACAGCTGGTCTGCAGGGTTCCCCAGGCCATCCCAGAGGGACTGATTACAATAGCCTGAGTGGGAACAGATGAGGGCTGACCTTGAAAACTGCCAGAGGTGGGTTGTGGAAGGTTGAAGGGTTGTCTCACCCACAATGGGACTCACGTTGTCACGGGTCTGCAGAACCAAGGCTGCTATCTGAATGAGCACCATGAATGGGTTTTTCCAAGATCAGAAGAAGTAAAGCATCTTTTCTGCTTTCAGAGTTTTCCACCCTCCCTCTGGAATGGACAAGGGGATGAAGAAAGCTTAAGTGCTCACAAAAATATAGTCTTGCCTGAATTCCTTAGTCTTTGTGGGTGGTAATGATACATCTGTACTAGGATTACAGATTCTCAGTAAGAAACTGCTGGCCTGACTTCTGGACTTTGGCCACAGTTCTTATAGTCACTGTGCTTCTAACCAGCAGTGGCAGGTCCCGGGATGCTCCAGGTGGCCTCTCTGATTCTGACAAGGGACTGGGGAATAACAGCTTACCCGCTGCACGGCTTGTAGCAGAATATGTTAGAGGCTGGCTCTGTCTGATGTTCCAGGATGATGGGCCTGCTCCAGTCATAGCTGTACCAGGAGCAAGGCCTCCTCCTGATCATATTCCTCTTACCAGGGGGGAGAGAGAGAGCTCTGACGAGGAGGCCTAGACCACTGTTACAGAGCATAGAGAAATCAAGTGAGTGGCAGGCACGGCTTGCCAGAATCTGGCTTTGGGATACATCTAAAGAAGCCTCCAGCTTTGGCCCTGGAAGGAGTCACCATCTCAGCTTGCTAAACCCAATCACATTCTTTCTTGCAGACTCTCACTGGCCACGAGGGACCAGTGAAGTGCTTGTTCTTTGACGAGTGGCATCTTCTCTCGGGAAGTAGTGATGGCTTTGTCATGGCCTGGAGCATGGTGGGAAAGTATGAGAGATGCCTAATGGGCTTCAAGCATCCTAGGTAAGTATCCCCGAAACCCTGGATTCTGACCTCAGCGTGCTCTCCTTTGACCACCATTAGGATCCTTCTCTTCTGTGTTCTGCTGGCCTTCACCCTCTGCTCCTCAATCATTTCTACTTTCCTCCTTTCCCACCTGTTATTCACTTCCCGACCACCACCCTCACTGCTCAGCCATCTCCTTTATGACTCTAACTTATTTCACTTGAGAAACAAGAATTAGTGTGGTTCTTGAGAAGTTACTGACATTTCATTCTTTTGACACAAGTGATAAATAAAAAAAATGATATTTGTTACTTACCAACGTCTAAATATTGGTAGAAGCATCCCCCAAAATGCTCATTCTAGCAAGCTTAAAACTCTTAGAATTGATCGTTTCCCTAGGAAGCTTGTATTCATAAAAGCTTAAATTACTCAAGTGCCAGAGCATTAAAAATAACTGACAACTTATAAAGGGAACTGTGGACTGGAGTCTATTCCAGGACAGTAAATGGCTTTCATTATATTTACCAATTAAAATTTAGTTGTAGAAGCTCTCAAGGCCAACCAAGAAGTATTTTGAGGTCACTCTTGGGCTTATTTGCGGTCAATTAACACTACCGTGGTATGCACTGGACTTCCTTGTATGCATATGAATATTATCCTGTCACTCAACATTGCATTTCATACCAAAGTCAGCATTTTCCAGGCTGCTCTACTGCATGAATAATTCTTCTCCCCCTTGTTGTTGTTGTCAGGTGCCGTGGAGTCCACTCTAACCCACAGAAACCCTATGTAAAACAGAAGAAACCTTGCTCCATCCTGAGCTAGCCTCACAATCTCAGCTATGCTTAAGCCATTGTTCTAGTCATTGTATCAGTCCACTGATTAGGATCTTTCTGTTTTCTCTGACTTTATCTAACATGATATCTTTCTTCAGAGACTAGCTCCTTTTGATGTTGTTGTTGTTATGTGCCGTTGAGTCACTTGTGACTCATAGCGACCCTATGTACAACAGCCCCAAACCCTGCTCTATTCTGTGCCAATCCCATTGCCTCTGACACACCCATTCCAATTACCCCAGTCACTGAATCAATCCACCTCATAGAGGGTCTTCCCCTCCTGCGCTGTCCCTTCACCCTACCAAGCATGATGTCCCTCTCCAAGTCTCACCGTCTCAAACGCACCCATTCCAATTACCCCAGTCACTGAATCAATCCACCTCATAGAGGGTCTTCCCCTCCTGCGCTGTCCCTTCACCCTACCAAGCATGATGTCCCTCTCCAAGGACCTGTCTCTCCTCACAACATGTCCAAAGTATGTCACATGAAGCCCCAGAATCTTTGCCTCCAAGGAGTAGCCTGGTTTAACCCTCTCCACGATGAATCTGTTTGTTTTCTTGGCAGTCCCTGGTACATTCAATACTCTTCTCCAGCACCACAGCTCAAAGGCATCAATTCTCCTTCTATCCTCCCTAGTCATTGTCCAACTCTCTGATTCATAACAAGTGATTACAAAGACCATGGCCTGTATCAGGTGCACCTTAGTCTCGAGAGAGACACCGTTGCTCTTGAGTACTTTACAGAGGTCCCTAACAGCAGACTTTCCCATCACAAAACGTTTTTTTTTATTTCCTGGCTGCTGGTGCCAAGACTGTTGACCATGGAGCTGAGCAAACTGAAGCTATGAACAATCTCAATCTCTTTGCCATCCATTCTGATGCTACCGATTGGTCCAATGGTGAGAATCTTTGTCTTCTTGACATTGAGCCTCAGTCCATACTGAAGGCTGCAGTCCTTGACCCTCTGCACTAAGTGCATGAGGTCCTCCTCAGTTTCAGCAAGCAGGGTTGTGTCATCTGCATACTGCAGATTATTGATAGATCTTCCACCAATCCTGATGCCACGCTTCTCCTCATAGAGCCCAGCCTCTCGGATAATCTGTTCTGCATACAGGTTGAAAAGGTATGGAAATAGGACACATCATCACTAAAATATGTGAGACCCAAAGTCTTACCATATTAACTTCTAAGAGTTAGTTACAGTTAGGGAGAAAACATGGAGTTCCTTTTTGGACCCTTCCCGGGTGTGGCTTTCATCCCCTTCTCGGTACTCCGCCCATCAGTCTCATGTGTCATGCCTCTATTGGACCATTAACCCCACGTGAGATCAAGCCGTTGACCAATAAAGACACAGTGACCAAATAAGGTCTTATTTGTGATTAAGGCAAACAAAGAGAAGCAGGAAATCAGCGCCATCTTGTAATGGCGACTGCACATGGCCTTCCACAATTCCCCCTTTTAGTTTTATTAAAATGGCAGAGAGAGCGCCTGTCTTAGGTTGTCCTGATCCATCACATGGCTTACCCGTCATCGGAAGATCCACCTCTAACACGTGAATCCCCTGTCTTAGGTTGCACATGGATGATCAATGATCTTACCCATCTTTGGCTGCCTCCCTAGCATGCCTTGTAAGTGGGGAATGGTAATTTTTTACCGTTTACCTCAAGTTTGCCAACCACACTTGAGGAGAATCACCTGCCTCAATGGCACGGACTGCCTGAATTATCATGGCAAGATCCCTACGTCGGGTCTGGGTCAAATGACAGAGGCAATAGAAACATAGTATAGAGATTCCAATTAAGAGAACAGCCAGCACTCCTATTCCCGCCCACTCTTTCAGATGATGCACGGCTTGCTGGATCCAGGATGTTAGGCCTTTTGATAAGAGACAGGTCCACACGCATCAAATTCACATTCACAATGGCGATTCTCAATTCTTGAACCAAATGATAAAATCTTCCAGACCAATTTCCTGTAAGATACTTAGATAATTTTCTGGACAAGTTAGCAGCATAAGTGCAATTATCGTAAGGCACAGAGGTGAACTCTCTCTGCCTACCCCTCCCCTCCAGTTCGCTCTTCTCTTTGAAAAGTAAAAGAAAAATTCTTTCATTGGTACAATCTCCTGCACCACCCCCCTCCCCCACCACCCTGAGTACACTCCACTATGCAACCTTAATTCTGGACTCTTGTGATAACCATAATACCCAATCATATATCGCTTTTAAACTGTTCTCTCCCTCATCTATTTCAATGTAGTATATGTAAGTTATTCAATTTTTATCAGTCTCACCCCAACCCTGATGTCAGTTCCATTCTACAACAGTGGCACTATGCAGTATTTGTCCTTTTGTGACTGAGATATTTCACTCAGCATAATGTCCTCCAGGGTCATCCATTTTGAATAATATTGCATGAGTTCCTTGTTTTTCAATGCAGGGTAGTATTCCATTGTGTGAATATACCAAAGCTTCTCTATCCATTCATCTGTTGATGGCTACTCAGGTTGTTTCCAACTCTTTGTTACTGTGAGCAATGCTGCAATAAACACGGGTGTGTATATATCTGCCTGGGTGATGGTTACGGTTTCTTTAGGGTATATTCCCAGTAGAGGAATTGCTGGGTCAAGTAGTATTTCTATTTGTAATTTTTTGGGAAAGCGCTATACAGCCTTCCATAGTGGTTGCACCATTTTACACTCCCACCAACAGTGAATAAGGGTTCCAGTTTGTCCACAACCTCACCAGCATTTGTTGTTTGCTGTTTTGTTAAATTTTGCTATTCTTACTGGGGTGAGAAGGTATCTCATAGTTGTTCTTCCAAACTTTTCTTTAATGAAGTTTAGAGTCCTTGGTTTTAGTCCCAGGTCCATAATCCACCTAGAGTTTTTTTTTTTTTTTTGTACGGAGTGAGGTGTGATCTTAATATACCTAAGTGTAAGAAATTTTTTTTAATTTTTAGGAAAAAAATTGAGTTTATCATGGCCCAAAGCTGTAAAAAAGAGAACCGGATAGTCTTTAATTCAATTCCTCTTACACAATGTACCCTTATGCACTCATAAAGAAGCTTTGAATAATATCATACTAGATGAGGAACAAGGAATCAAAACTGACACCAAAAGTAAAAAAAAAAAAAATAGGAGTTCTGATGACCTAATGGCAAGAAGCCATCCACAGGCACGGGTATCCTTGCAACTACTGCTACTTGAAATTGAGAAGAATTCCAGCATATAGTATAATAGCGATCATCAGAACAATTTAGCCAATGTACACCCTTAGTGCCATTAGACACTATCCAAATGAATGGTGGGTACAAACAAACAGGTGTGGATACAAAACTAACATTTTGATACGATTTGTTCATACTTACTATTTCCTCAAACTTCGCTGAATTATTCCATGTAAATTCAGCTAAACCTGCCATACCTCCCCCGATCATAATGAATGGGGAGAGATCAGTACAGCTGCCGTTAACACCACATAACAACCAAACATTATAAGGGTTTTGATTGACCATTAGTTAGACAAGCTTTAGCTGTGCTATGCCAATCAGCAGGCGTCTGAGCATGTAAAGCCAAACGCTCCAATAAGGCAAGGGTAAAAGATGCTCCTACCCCATAGGTTTTCACTGACTCGGCCAATGTTTTAAGTTGCTTAAAATCAATAGGTTCATGATAACGTTGGTGATTGGCATCCTCAAACACAGGAAAAGCCTCTGCTGCTCGTCTCCATGTCTCAGGGCAGAAAGATGTTCTAGAAGGGGGGTTTTCCTGTCCGTAGGGTGGAGGTATGGGCGGTGTCAAAGGAGGTATGGGCGGAGCACTGGGCTCCAATGGAAATTCTCCTGATTCCTTTTCCTGTGATTGCCTGTCCTTCTTCCCTTTTTCCATAAGGCGAACCCTCTCCAATTTCAGCAAAAGTTTGTCAATCTTTTCCTCTAAGCTACTTAAACTTTCATCACTAGAACTGTCGCTGTCTGAATCCTTACTTTCGCTATCAGTGGCGTCCTTCAATCTAGGGTACAGCCTTTCTCCTGGCTGCGATCCCTCTGAGCTTGTTTCTTTCATCTGGTCTAAGACCTCCTCTGATTTTCTTAGGGCAGATACACACTTTGCATTGTCCAAACAGCCACGAACCAGCTTCCAAACCCCTTGAACTCCTCCTCTAAGTTGTCTATCTTCCCATGCAGTATCGAGGTCTCTACCCAGTTTATCCCAACTGTCTAATGTAAGGTGTCCTTAAGCTCCAAGCCCTTAGCTTTTAACAGACCTTTTAAGGCCATTTTAACAGGGCATGTGGGTGAATTACCCATGGTTTCACTTTCTATTTCTAGCTGCTTACCGCGAACTTTGAGAAATTGCCTGGTCTCACAGGTCCTTATAGTCTCCTTCCGAGAACTTAAAATTGCCTGATCTCACAGGTCCTTATAGTCTCCTTCCGAGAACTTAATAAATCAGGTCAGTCCTTACCTGATACTTACTAGCCAGCTGCCCTGTCCGCCGTGAGTTCTGGAACCGCGGCACCTCTTCGGGTCCCGTATGGGCCACCACTTGTTGCGCGCCTTGCCTGTCCAGCAGGAATAAGGACACAACACACCAGCGATTCCTTCTCATGGCGGTTTACTCAGGAGTTAGTTACAGTTAGGGAGAAAACATGGAGTTCCTTTTTGGACCCTTCCCGGGTGCGGCTTTTACCCCCTTCTTGGTACTCCGCCCATCAGTCTCATGTGTCATGCCTCCTTTGGACCATTAACCCCACATGAGATCAAGCCATTGGCCAATAAAGACACGGTGACCAATTAAGGTCTTATTTGTGATTAAGGCAAACAAAGAGAAGCAGGAAATCAGCGCCATCTTGTAATGGCGACCGCACACGGCCTTTCACACCATAGTACATTTCATATTCTTCACTAACATCACAATTCAAAGACATCAATTCTTCTCCAGACTTTCTCATTCGTAGTCCAACTTTTACATACACATGAGGCAATTTAAAATACCATGACTTAGGTCAGGTGCCCCTTAATGTTTGTTTAAAGTGATGCCTTTGCACTATAGCATTTTAAATAGCTCCTTTGCGGGATATGCCTTCTGGTTTTTTGGCTCCTGCTTCTGTAAATGTTGTTTATGGATCTAAGTACAATAAAAATCGTGACAAATACAATCTTTTCTTCATTTACTATAATGCTGTTTATAGGTCCAGTCGTGAGAGTTTTTTTGTTTTCTTTATATTGAGATGTCACCCATATTGAAGGCTTTTTAGTCTTTAAGCTTCATCATAAGGCCTTCAAATCCTCTATACTTTCAGCAAGAAAGTTTGTACCATCTGCACATCTCCAGTGTTAAGTCTTTTTCCTAGCCTAATGCTACATCCTTCTTCACTTTGTCCAGTTTCTCAGATTATCTGCTTAGCATACAGATTGAATAGAAAGGAGACAATCCTAATACACACCTTTCCTTTCCTGATTTGTGGGTTATTGTTTTGCATTGTGTCTAACAGAAGAGGAAATTTAAGTTAAAAAGTTACATTTCCTTGGCAAAATTAGAAGGCCAGAAATTTGTAGTGTCAGGATTTGATGCCAAGATTTCTGCTTCCAAAACTTGTGCTTTTAATCAGTAAGTATACTGATTAAGGCTAAATTACCAGTTCTCATAGGAACCTATGAGAATTATAAGCCCAGCTCCGTCAGATAAAAAGCTGTACACAAAGAGGCAAATTCTTCTATGACAGAGAATCTCCCCTAATGTTGGATTACTTAATTGTTGCTGTTGTTATGTGCCGTCGAGTCGCCTGCGACTCATAGCAACCCTATGTACAACAGCTCTAAACCCTGCTCTACCCCTTGCCAATCTTATTGTCTCCAACATACCCATCTCTGTTACCCCAGTGACTGAATCAATCTACCTCATAGAGGGTCTTCCCCTACTGCACTGTCCCTCCACCCTCCCAAGCACAATGTCTCTCTCCAAGGACTGGTCCCTCTTTGCAACGTGTCCAAAGTATGTCAGACGGAGCTTCAGAATCCTTGCCTCCAAGGAGCAGCCTGGCTTCACCCCTCTCTAGGACAAACTTATTTGTTCTTGATTACTTTATAGTCAAGCTAAAAATGTGCTTGCAACACCACAAAGCTATTATCTTTCCATCTCTGGTGGAAGAAACCAGAACTTTCAGGACTGCCTGCTATTTATTTTCAGCTTAGTATTATTTATTTAACTACTCAGGGATGTTGTGAAGAGGAGTTTAAGACGCATCACCCTCCTTGCTGTTGTTTGAACATATTTTGCAGGTTGCTGCCTTCCAAGGTCTCTGTTACTTGGGGTGTTTTTGGTTGCTGTTGATAGTTAAGATCTCTAAAAGTCTTTAACTGGACCTGGGACACCATACAGGCTAAAGTCAAATATTATTTGGTGGATAGTATTCTTATGAAACACTATAGTGATATTATCAGCAGGGGCCAGTCCCTGTAAAAGGCTGTCATGCTAGGAAATGTAGAAGATCAATAAAAGAGAGACAGGCCTTCGGTAAAATGTATTGACACAATCACTAGGGGGAAAATGGGCTTAAGCACAGAAGAGACTGTAAGAATGGTAAAGAATTGGACAGGATCTTTTTCTGCTGTAGAGGTGCTATGTCTTGATGGCACCTAATAACCACAACAATAGTAGTGACCATTTCAGCTTCAGCTGCTCTGAAACCGTGAGCAGTCAGTCATTTTCCCAACCCACCTTTACAGAGAAACTACTGTGGGCTAGTCTCCATGCCTCATGTTGAGCATACAAAGATGATGTGCCCTAGAGAATCTGACAACACACCTGGTTTGTGTATGTGTATGGAGTGCAAAGGGGATGTTTCCTGAAGATATAGGAAGCTAGGCCATGGATGGATTTGAATGAGTAAAAATATAAGGAGTGATCAGTGGAAATATTTGAATATAGGATCTAATGTATTAGTGGCATCAGATTTAACTTTTCAGTGTCATTATCAGAAATAAGATAATTATTCTTTTCATACATCAATACTCCATGCCTTTTCAGATCCGAACTTGTACCCCCCGCTTCAGGGTAGATTTTTTTTAAAAGGTATCTAGATCTCCTACCCTCACCTACTTCCTGCTGGTCATCACAAAAAAAATCACATGTCAGTTTTCCTTAAAGAGGTTTCTACTGAAGGAATGGAAAATCACCAATTTATAATTAAGAAGAAATGTGCAAATATCTAGTTTCTGCTCATTATAATGGTAACCACTTCCCCTTAGGTTTTGTTTCTGTTTTACACAGTATTTCTAGTTTTAAAAGGAATAAGAACATGAAATCTTTTTCATCATGACATTTGTAGTAATAAACAGCTGGGAATTAGATTGCAAGAGAAAAAGGCATACTCATAGATACCGGAGAAAAAAAAGAAAAGCAACTACTTAACAGAAGCATGTTTCTTTGCTACCTCATGGCACCATGACTGAAAAGACTGACTCAGGGAGCGCTGGTGCTCTAGTGGTAAGAATCTGCGTGCAATCCTGAAGGCACATAGTTCGAAACCACCAGCTACTCTGCAGGAGAAGGATGGGCAGTCTTCTTTAGTGAAATTTATTGTCTCAGACAACTCCCTGGAGGGTCAGCTATGGATTGATTCTGACTCGCTGATACACAACAAAGATGACAACAACAACATAGATTGAGAAAAGATAACTATCCACATTTGGAATTCCAATGGTTTGTTTCCAAAGTTATCACATGATGACAAACATAATTTCTGCCTTACACACAGACACACACACCCTAATATATGAATTACAGAAGGCAGATGCTGCCTGCCTGTCCCTCTGTTCCTTTCCAGGGAGGTACTCGATGTGTCGCTTCTCTTCCTCCGGGTCATCAGCGCCTGTGCAGATGGCAAGATCCGCATTTATAATTTCTTAAATGGGAACTGCTTGAAGGTAATGAAAGCCAACAGCAGAGGGGACCCAGTACTATCCTTCTTTATTCAAGGAGACAGGTGGGTGGTAGATGCAGACTGTAGAACCATGAGCAACTTGATTGTTTGTTTCCCTCTTCTGGTATAATTACTGTGGTTTTGTTAAGAGTGGAAAAGTGTGGGCAGGGCTTCTTTTTGCTTTGGTTTGTCCAATTTGACTCAACTCAACTCAGCTCAACTCAACTCAACTCATTGCTGTCCTGTCAGAACCAACTCATAGTTGACCTTCCAGTGAGTTTTCAGAGGCTGTGAATTGGATGGGAGAAGACTGCTCATCTTTACCCTGAAGAACCACTGGTGGATTTGAACTGCCAGAGATGAGCCACTTTTAAGTTAGCAGTGCAATTCCCTACCATCTATGCCACCAATGCCTATATTTAGTATAAGCAGAACTTGGGGTTGTAGTGGACGGACAATTTTATGTAGAACTGACTTGGCTTTGCAGAAACTTATCCTTAGCAACCAGGGAGCAACCATTGTTTGATGCCTAATTAATTCTAGGTATTTAGCCAAATCTTGAAATTTTTTGGAGGATGTAAAATGGGGCAGCATGGTTTCCTCATCCTGAATGGTGCAAATGGTTAACCTGCCCAGCTGCACATCAAAAGGTTCGTGGTTTGAGTACAGCCTTTGGTGGTTTAAGCCTAAAGGCATTTTGGAAGAACAGTCTGGGCATCTACTTCAGCAAAAGCACCCGCTGAAAACCCCAGGCGGCATGTTTCCACCCTGACACACGTTGGCATTGTCAGGAATCAGCATCAACTTGACACCAACTGGCTTTGCATCTTTTGCTGCAAGAATCACAGTTCTGAAAACATGTTGTTCTTGCTTGCTCCTAATGATGTATTCAGTTGCCTGAAACCTCTATTACCAATCTCATTGCTGTTGAGTTGACTGTGACTCAACACAGCCTCTATCAAGTTTGTGAGGTATAAGTTGTTATGTGAGGAGACTGCCCAGCAGACGACTGGTGGAGCTCTGTCTCCAGGGCCCCACTTCTGATGTAAGAGGCTTGAAGAAGGCTGTGGATTGTTAATAGCAAGAGTTGCCCAAGGAGAGAACGAAGCGAGCGAGTTCATAAACCAAGACTGAACTCATTGTTGTACTATGGAAGTTACAGACCATAGGAGATGGCTTGTAAAAATAAACAGAATTAATTCTACCTGAGTCAGCAAAACTCGGTTGATATTGCTTCCCAGGTTAAAAAGTAGGAAAAGATAATAAGGTTCAGTAAATTAGCAGTGACCTTTTATTATTCATAGCAACCCCAAGGGAAAAAAAAGAGATCATCTTTCTTTGACTTGAATAAAAATAAAATAGTAAGAGATTTCTTTTTTAAAAAGAGTGCCCAAAATCTATCTTAACTTTTTCAACCAAAAACAGTTACTTTAATACAAAGATTGTGCTATTAGTTAAGGTCTCAAAACTGTAGCCATTTGAAGCAGAAAGGAAATAGCATACATTATTCAAATTTTTGTCTGTAGTTTTCGTAGATATGGAAGGGAAAGCTGTTTCTCTTTGAATGTTATAGGTGGTGGGAGAAGGGTTTGGTGGCCAGGTTTGGAAGTTTTTCCTACTAGGATATAAAAGTGAGCATGGAAGAAAAAAAGGAAGAACTTTTGTTTTATGTTACCACGTGGCAATGAGTTGGAACTGACTCATAGCTGACTCTCTCGTCATTTTCATAAACTTTTCCTTGTGAAAGGAGATTGCCCATTTTTCTCTCACAGAACAGCTGGTGGATTTAAACCAAGTGCCTTTGGGTTTGGTAGTAAAACTTCTTATCCACTAGGCCACCAAAGCTTCCTGTTCTATTTTCTATAAAGTACAAATGTTCTATCTGAACCTGGAGTATGTACAGAGACAGAAGAGGATGGGCAGGAGGGTCAATGTGGGAGGGGAGGCCTGCACACTATCTCAATCACAGCAAGAGAGAAGCACTGGGATTGGATGCTAGGCTTCAAAACAGCACATTGAAAGGCTGTCTATGTTGTTGTTACTGCTGTGTGCTGCCAAATTGGAACCAACTCACAGTTGACCCTCCGGTAGATTTTCAGAGGCAGTTTAATCACATAGAAGGAGATTGCTCATCCTTCTCCCATGGAGCAGCTGGTGGATTCTAACCACATGCCTTCAGGATTGTAGTGCAGCTTCTTACCATGAGGTCACTAGAGCTTCCTAATGTTGCTGTTAGGTGCCATCTGAGAAGTTAGTAACTGAAAAGTCTGTGAAGCATAGTTCTGCTCTGAAACACACGAGGCTGCCTACTTACCTTAAGTCACAATTGACTCAACAATTCCTGATTTTTAGAAAATATGCATTTTATCATGTTTTCAGTGAAGGTTTACAGAGTTAGGTTTCAGTAAAAAATTTTATATACAAATAGTTCAGTGGCATTGGTTATATACTTCATAATGCAAGAATATTATTCTTTTTTTCATCCTGATTATTCCAGTTCCCATTAGTATAGCTTCCTTCCTTCTTGCCTCCTTGTGTTTGTGTTAAAGTAGTCACTAAATGCTTGGCCTCACAAAGATGATTTTGAAAGGAGCACCGTACTCACCAATGACACATTTTATTTTGTAAGCCACTTTATTGCTTAGCTAAAAGGGGACCTCAGAGAGCAGATCCTGTTCAAGAGTTAAAGACTATCTTAGTCCTTCAAAGTCATCAGCCTCAAATTGTCCAGTGAGTCTGGAGCTTTTAAGAATTTGAGTGTCTATTCCACATTTTTCTCTCTATGGCATTGATTTCTTTGTGTAGGGTACCTAAAACTTCTGCCTTGGTTCTTCTACCTTAGATTCTTGGCACTCAGTCTAGGGAATAAGATGTATTTAAAAAGATTTTAACTTGGGAAGTAATGCAACCAGAATGAACAGTTCCTGTTCACATTTGTTTCTAAAGACAATAACTACGAAGTTAGGCACTCTTGCTGTGTGTCTGCTGCCTTTCTCCTCTTCAGACCCTTCAACACTCCCCTGTGTGTGATTTGTGTAGTTACCACCAGGCCCTGTTGCACTGGTCTAAGGAGGGCCAGGAACCATGGTGGGAGTGTGTATTTTGGAGACAGTGGTGGTGCCCACATGCCTGTTGTTAACAGTATTATCATTTTGGTTGCAGGATGCTGATCAACACAGAGAGCAATATCATCATGTTTCAGTTTGAGAATATAAAGTGGCAGTACTCTCAGGATCAAGTGAAACAGAAGGAGTACAAGGATAAAGAGGAGGAATGGGAGGATAGTAGTTTTGGGGATGCTGCCTCCAGCATTCTGACTTACAGCCGAAAGGAGTCAGCCTTAAGTAAACAAATGGTGGTCCAGGAAGCTTTAGCTAGTAAACAGCAGAGACCTCATATTTCACCAAAGACAGCCGCGTTATCTGCAGGTAAGTATTTAATCCCAAGCAATCTCAGTGTTAAGCAAAAGAGGTGAAGAAGGGGTCTGGACAGGTTTCTTTGTGAACAGTTTTGGTAAATTCTTGGTGATTTAAGTTCTAACCTTTCAGGAAGGTAAAAGTCATTCTCTTTTATCTACAAAAAAAAATCAGTAGGAGTTTGCAGTAGGTGAAGCAAATATCTTTGTTTTCAAAGCCTTGTTGTGTGCTGTCAAATCAGAACTGACGCATAGCTGACCCTCCAGCAGACTTTCAGAGGTAGGTAGTTAATTGCATGGGAAGAGATTGCCCATCCTTCTCCTGTGGAGTAGCTGGTCGATTCGGAGCATCTACCTTTGGGATTACAGGGCAGCTTCTTAGCACGAGGCCCCCTAGAATCTTTGTATAGTAGATATCTTAATTATTTAATGCTGCTATCACAGATAGGGAACTCTGGTTGAGTATTACATAGGGTATGACACTACTGTTGTTGTTAAGTGCTGTTGAGTTGTAGGCTACTCATAGCGACCCTGTGAATGAAAGCCCTCGACATGTGCGTGACTTTCATCCTTTCTCCAGATTCATTGGGTTTCTGGAGGCAAGCTATTTACAGAAGTGGATGCAACTCCTGCTTCCAAGCTTGTTTCAACCGGGGAACTCCACCAAACACTGTCCATTTTCACATTTGACACACCAGTGTTCCAGTGTTCAGCTTCACAGCAACCACAAGTTACCTCTGTATGGCAAGTGGACACACCAGGGCTATACGACCTAGAAGAATGTTTCACCGAAAACAATGAAAAACAGGCCTGAGGGTGGCGGATTAGAGTCACCCACCTTTGGTTTGGTAGCATCACTTTCTGTCCACTAGGCCAACTAGTCTCTCTCTATGTTGTTGAGTTCTGTCGAGTCATAGGCAAATCATAGCGATTCTATGAATGGAAGTCCTCCACACGTGCGTGACTTTCATCCTTTCTCCGTGGCACTACTAGCCCAAAGAAAATGCCTCTTTGGTGGTTCAAATCCACTAGTGGGAGAAAGTTGAGCAATCCCATCCCATGCAACTTAGAGCCTCTGAAACCTGTGTGGAGAGCCAGGTATGAGTTGGTTCCATCTCAATGGCAACGAGATAGCTATAATAGAAAGACCACAGGTGGTTTGCTTTACCAAACAGAAATTTATTCTCATACACTGTTGTTGTTGTTGGGTGCTGCTGAGTGAAATATGACTCACAGTGACCCTATGAAGAGCTGACCTGAATTCTGCCCTATCCTGTGTTCTCCTCATTTCTCTGACATGATAGAGCCCATTGCTGAAGTCACTGTGTCAATCTATCCCATTGAGGGTCTTCTTTGCTGACTTTCCATTTTCTCAAGTATGATGTTCCTTTCCAAGGAATAGCTCCGCTTAGCTACATGTCCCAAGTATGACAGATACAGTGTAAGAGGCTAGAAATAGGGGAAAGACCTCTGTCTGTGTTGTGGAGGAAAGCCCTCACGTCCTTCAGCATGTGTAGTCAGCCCTGTGTTTGCTGGGGACCTGCATGTGCTCTGGATTTCTCCTTTGTGCAAGAACCCTGGTCTCAAAAGATGCATATTTCTCTTGGTGATTACTTCTTGGAGGTAGTCAAGGATCTCCTTTTAGCTCACTTTTCTATGGTGGTCTAGTGGCAAGAAGCTGAGCGGAAACCCTGAAGGCACACTGTTTGAGGCCACCAGCTGCTCTGAAGGAGAAGGATGGGCAGTCTCCTTCCATATGATTAACCGCCTCTGAAAACTCACTTGAGAGGCAGCTATGGATCAGTTCCAACTCTATGGTATTCAGCTCTCCATTTTTACCTCTTGTTGTTGTTGTTATGTGCCGTCGAGTCGCTTGCGACTCATAGCGACCCTATGCACAACAGCCCTAAACTCCACTCTGTCCTGTGCCAATCGCACTGTCTCCGACACTTCCATCCCAATTATCCCAGTCACCGAATCAATCCACCTCATAGAAGGCCTTCCTCTCCTGCACCGTCCCTCCACCCTCACAAGCATGATGTCCCTCTCCAAGGACCGGTCTCTCCTCACAACATGTCCAAAGTATGTTAGACGGAGCCTCAGAATCCTTGCCTCCAAGGAGCCACCCGGTTTAACCCTTTCCAGGACAAACCTGTTTGTTTTCCTAGGAGTCCATGGTATTCTCAATACTCTTCTCCAGCACCACAGCTCAAAGACATCAATTCTCCTTCTATCCTCCTTGGTCATTGTCCAACTCTCTGATGCATAACAAGTGATTGCGAAGACCATAGCCTGTATCAGATGCACCTTAGTCTCCAGAGAGACACCATTGCTCTTCAGTACTTTGGAGAGGTCCCTAACAGCAGACTTTCCCATGGCAATGCGCCTTTTAGTTTCCTGGCTGCTGGTGCCAAGACTGTTGACTGTGGAGCCAAGCAAACTAAAGCTGTGTACAATCTCAGTCTCTTCACCATCCATCCTGATGCTGCCAATTGGTCCAGTGGTGAGAATCTTTGTCTTCTTGACATTGAGCCTCAATCCATATTGTAGGCTGCAGTCCTTGACACTCTGCAGCAGGCGCTCCAGGTCCTCTTCAGTTTCAGCAAGCAGGGTTGTGTCATCCGCATAACGCAGGTTGTTGATAAATCGTTCACCAATCTTGACCCCACATTTCTCCTCATAGAGCCCAGCCTCCCAGATAATCTGTTCTGCATTATAAGCAACACCCTAGGGAACTCTCTTACATTCAGTTAGGACTGTGATGGGGTTAGTGAGTGTTGTATTACCCCCTTAATCTTCCTATGACTATTTGGTTTATCAGATCGCTCACATTTTGCTATTATAGACAGAAGTAAATTCATTACAGTAGATGAGACATCTTGCCTTTGGGATTGCAGCACAAGCTCTTACCTCTGGCCATCAGAGCTCCCTAATAATATAACACAGAGAACAAGGTTTTTTTTGTTTTTTGGTGTTTTTTTTTTTTTTTAAGACTTGAGTTTTCACTTGGAGTTCACAAACTGCCTCCTCTGTTGCCACACAACCTCCCGGGCTTACCGCTTCTTAGACTGTTGTTTCTTCAGTTGGGGTAATGGACACGCTTGAAGAGATACCCAGATACGATTGGCTTCACAGAGCATTTAGGGGATTTGATGAGGGGGAAGTCCCTGGGTTGTGACACAAACTTAGTTGCAAAATAAAAGGCTAAAGATTCAAGTCCATCCAAATGTGTGTCAGAATAAAGGCCTTGCGGCTGACATTGAGAAGAATGGGAGTCTCAGAACACTTCATTGTGCTCATGCAAAACCTGTACCTGGTCCAGGAGGCTGTTGTGTGAACAGAGCAGGGCAACAACATTGCATGGTTTAAAATTAAGAAGGGACTGTGTCAGGGTTGTGTTCTCTTATCATATCAATTTAATCTGTATGTTGAGCAAATTATTTGAGAAGTTGGACTCTGTGAAGAGGAGTGTGGCATCAGAGTGGGAGGGAGACTTATAAAGAACCTGAATGATGCAGATGACATAACCTTGCTGCTGAAAATGAGGAGGACTTAAAGCACATGTTGCAGAATATCAAGGAGTAGAGCCTTTGGTATGGGTTGCATCTATTATTATTATTATCATTGTGATCTAATGAAATTTTACAGAAAAGTTGAATTTTTCATTCACTCATTGTTGCACATTTTCCTCCCTATCTCCACCCCTCATTGGCTTTATAAAAAAAAAAATGTCAAGAAAACAAAGATCTTACCACTGAATTTATAGGAAACATAATGATGGATGGAAAGGAGATGAAAACTGTCAACAGCTTCATCTTGCTTGGATCCACAATTAACAACATCCTTGTTATTAGCAATCATGAAATAAGGAGATGCATTGCACTGGGAAAATCTGCAGTTAGGGACCTCTCTAAATTATTCAGGAGTAATGAGGTCAGTTTGAGGACTAAGGTGTATATGAACCAGGCCACAGTATTTCTGATCACCTGCTATGCATCTGAGAACTAGGTAGTGAATAAGGATGACAGAAGAATTGATGCTTTTGATCTGTGGTGTTGCAGAAGAGCACTGACTTTCCCATGGACAGCCAAAAGAACAGATAGTATTGGAGAGGATCCAGCCAGAGTGCTCTTTGGAGGCAAGGATAATGAGGCTTCACCTCACATACTTCCAGTATGTTGCCAGGAGGGGCTATTCCTTGGACAGGGACATGATGCTAAGAATTGTGGAGGATTGGTGAAAGAGAGAAAGACCCTCAACTAGGTGGATTGACGTGGTGACTGCTGCAATAGACTTTTGTGTGTCAGGAAGTGTGAGGATGGCAGAGGATAGAACAGGGTTCAGATCTTTGGTTTATAGGTTTGCTCTGAGTTGTACTTGACATGACCACACCTAACAACAACAACAACAAAATCAACTTTTGAAAAGTTAGCCATTGAGAACTCTATGAATCCCCATTCTGCTCTGACACATACAGGATCAATATGAGTTAGAATCAACAGGATGATGATTAGTATAGTAGAAGAGAAAAAGTTGGGGCTGTTTTAGATATGAGATAATTAGTTAAGGGAGATGAGTATGGGATTCTAAGAAGAGTAATTGGCCATCATGAAGAGCTCTCCTGCTGCTGTCATTGAGAGGCATGTGAAAAGATTAAAAATGCCTTTCAAATATTTTGATTGTACATAACAGTATATCTCGAAATTGGATTTTCTGCAAAATAATCCAGTATTTGTTTCCCTGTGAGAACAAAACAATTATGCTTTATGAGGGCTATCCTAACAATAAGCATTTTGTGTATACCTGTGTTTGCATTCTTACTCAAGTAAATACAAATGGATGGATACATTAGAAAACCAGCAACATGTTGCCTTGCTTGAATCTTTAAAGATGATACATCATTCTACACTTGTAGTTTGACAGCTCCCAAAATCTAATCCAATAGTTGGTATTCTCTATTATTTTGTTCTAATGTAAACATTCTCACCACTGGGCCAATTGGCAGCACCATAATAGGTGGGGAAGAGATTGAGGTTGTTAGCATTTACAGCTTGCTTGACTACACAATCAACACTCTTAACACCAGCAGTCAGGAAATCAAAAGACAACATTGGGAAAATCTGCTGTCATGGACCTCTCCAGAGTGCTGAAAAGCAACAATGTCAGTCTAGATACAAAGGTGCTCCTAATCCAAGCCATGGTATTCTCAATTACTTGTTATGCTTCAGAGAGTTGGACAATGACTAAGGATGACAGAAGAAGAATATATGCCTTGGAGTTTTGGTGTTGGAGAAGAGTCTTGAACATTCCATGGACTGCCAAGAAAAGAAATAGGTCTGTCTTTGAGAGGGTGAAACCAACTCTCTCCTTGGAGGCTAGGATTTTGAAGCCCTGCCTCGCTTACTTTGAGCATGTGGCCAGGAGAGATTGGTCCTTGGAGAAGGACATCATGCTTGAAAGGGTGGACAGAGAGCACTGGAGAGGGAGAAATGAATTGGTGAAGCACAGGGTATTTTGAGGGCAGTGGAACTGTTCATTTGATACTGTAATGGCAGATACATGATATTGTTTGTTATGCATTTGTTAAAACCCGTAGACCTGTGCATAGGAAGTGGACTGTAATGTAAATTCTGGACTTCAGTTAATTATAAAGAATCTGTATCGGTTCATCAATTGCTGCAGAGACCCTACAGGAATGCAAGATGCTAATATGAGATAGACAGTGGACAAGAATGAAAGGTGGTATATGAAAAGACTCTCTACTTTCTAGGAGGTTCTGGTGGCCTAGTGGCAAGGAGTTGCACTGGAAACTTAGAGACACCCAGTTCAAATCCACCAGCTGCTCTGTGGGAGAAAGATGGGCAATCTCCTCCCATGTAATTAACTGCATTTGGAAACCAACTGGAGGGTCAGCTGTGGGTCAGTTTCAACTTGATGATACACAACAAAAACTGTTTACCACACATTTTCTCTACAGAACTTAAAAAATAAGTTTAATTTTTTAAAATAAAAGGAGTGTAAAACATGTGTATCACTGAAACTAAAACACACACACACACACCCCAAAAAACAAACCCAACACAACAAGCCAGTGGATAGAGAAATTGCAGTACTTCCACACAGTGGAATATTATGCATCATTAAAAACAATGAAGAAACTTGTGAACCACACTACGCAACATGACAATTCTAGAGAATATTGTACTGTGTGAAATAGCTACCCAAAGGGAAAAATATTGTTTAAGATCTCTATTAATAAAATAAGAGAGTTTTGGTTTTGTTTTTTTTTTTTTTTCATGGGGGAAGGCTTATGGACAGAGCAGAAGTAGAATGGCCAGACAATTAACAGTGTAATGGTTTAGGGGAAGGGAAGATTGGCCTGGAATAATTCGAGGAATGGACAATGTGTGTATTGCAATTAACAACTTCGAGCAGGATATGCATAACCAATCTAATGGAGAAAGGCAAAGGGAAATGGGAAGAGGTGGGTGGAGGGAAACGCTAGGTCAGATGGATGGGTAGGGTGAAAGAAAGAGAAGATGTAGTGTGAATTTGATGAGATATTGTGATAAATGGTATCGATTAATTACTTAATAGTAGTTAATGCTATAAAGGACAATGTATCTGGTGAATGAACATCAATTTAGAAAATCCCATTTTGTACAGTGACATCACTTCTGACATAGGAGATATTTGTCCATAGATGGCACTCAAACAAAAAAGATCTTAGTTTGCATGTTATTAGAATGATCTTCACCCTGAAACCCACAGCGTCCCTTTTCAGCAGGAAGTAGCTAAGAGAATACGCCGTCCCCTTTTCCTTATGACTCAGGGTGAAGTC